ACCTCTATCCTCCTGATCTTAGCCTGCTAGCTAGAATTACATGTGTGAGTCATTGGTGCCCAGCATGATTATTTGTTAAATGAGTGAAAGCCCATTTCCTACCAAAAGATATAAGACTGATGAGTTACTTGAATAAGCATTCAATTACTACTATTAAAAAATGATCAGTTTTAATCATGATTGAGAAATCAGTATTGTGCTATGAGTGAGTTTGTGAGCTAATGTAGAGGATAAATATACTTAGGGTTTGGGACGGGAGCTGTTGTCCGAGGAACTGAAGTGAACCTTGCAGGGGCAGGTGAAGCAGGCAGGAGCTGTTCTGGAGAGAGCCACAGCCTTTGCTTCTCATGACTCATTTCCTCCCATCTGAGCCAACTGAGTGACTGCTGGACTTATTACACTCTGCCCCTGGACATCTTTCTGGCCAGCTGGGTGACATGTTCCTGGCATCTGTCTAGGCACTCTATATTTTCTTCCAAATGCAGATATCTCCCTTTAGTTTTTCAACATGGAGCACCGGGGGTCTATAGGAAATTCCCTCCATCAGTTAGGCATATGGGAAGTGCTTTCTGATAATACATAGAAGGGAATGATTTTCCACATGTCCAAGAGGTCAATCCAGGTCATTAATTTACGACTCACACCCATGTACTGGGAGTACAGGACTGATTGCCCAGTTCCCTGATGGAGCTTCTCTGCAGCCTGCACAAGGGAGACACCTGCCAGAACCCCCAGAACATCTGAGAGGAATGGGAAGTCTGGTAAAACAGTGGAGTTGAAATGAGGGATTAAAAAAAAGTCATATTCAGGTTGCTTTTAATCCTCACTTTAACAGCTAACATGGCAGACCAGTGAAGTACCTTGGAGCAGTGGTATTCAGACCATCTGGAGTCAGACTTGCTGCGACTGAGAGCAATGGTGTTGTCTCTGCAGGACCCTCTGCTTCCTCTCAAGGGGTGGCCTGGAAAGGTTGGTGATCCAGCAAGTCCCTCACACCATTCCTTGTCACTGCTCCTGGACTCTTCTCCCCCAAATCTTTGGCATGCTTCATAATTTTATAGAAATACCTTAGCATCCATCACATCCTGCTCACAGTTCTGAAGGGCAGTGTTCACACACCTTGAATTAATGTCAAGCTAACATAGGGCAAGTTATTTTATACTGTGGAAACTCAGCAGAAGAATAGCCACTCAGTGTCATAGTTACTTATTTTCAGCAGCTTAAATGCAAATGTCATTAAATCTTTATAGTGTTCTAGTAAATGCCATTCATTTTCATCTGTGGTTTCAAAGAATTCCACAGGGGAGCTTTTCAATTTAATATGAGCGATAAATCTTATTCATGTTGTGGGCTTTCTTGCCTATAAAAGCTGAAAGCTGAATGAAACATTTTCCACAAGAGCTTACTTTAAATAACTTAAGAACAAAATATCTTTCTTCCAGTGGAAGAAGGGAAAGGAAAGGAAAGGGAATCAGAGATTGGAAAAAGGAGCTTGGTGAAGTAGCCAGCCAACCAAACTCAACAAAAGTGCTTGGGCAGAAGTGGTTCCCAAAATTCAGCAAATTATGCACTCATTACGTGCACATCTGTGCAGATGTGGAGCCTACCCTCTAGTCAAGGAGATAAGATTTGTGCATAAATACTTGAAACAGTATTGAGAGGAACGATCTCATGATAATATAGGTACTTAGCAAGGACTTTATCTACTATCTTCAAGAATTGTGCTAAATGCTTTACATGTGTTATAAAAGCATGCTCATGACAGCTGAGAAGCAAAGAAAGTGAGGCTCAGAGCAGTTAATTTGTCCAGGATGACTCATCCAGTTGGACTTTAGCACAGAACTGACTCCAACCTTAGGTTGTCAGATAACATTTGAATTCCAGATAAATAACAATGTTCTTAGCTATAAAATCCAATACAAATATTGCTATTTGTATTTGCCAAATCTGGCAGCCCTACTCCAAATCTCACCCTATTATGCTATTCTTCAGTAGTATGAGAATTCAAGACTAGAGGAGATTCCTGCTGTTAGGAGTATCACGAAATAGAGTGTTACCCAAGGTTCTCGGGCCCTGTTCCAGATGAATTGTATGGCTATAAGAAGCTTAAGACTTAGACAAAATTGTCATGTAGATAATATTTAGTGTGCTAAGCCTAGCAATATTTAAACCTTTGTTCCCTGTACCCCATCAGCAAAAAACACTAGAGCATTCACTCTCCAAATCTACATATGATTTATGACTGACATATTAATATGCTGTGTATATTTTATTTTATTCTAATTTTTTATTAAAATTTTTTTTTGGTGTGGGAGATCAACCCTAGAGCCTTGCATGTGCTAAGCAGGTACTCTACCACTGAATTGTGTATCAAGCATTCCCATGTACATTTAAAACACAAAAATAAAATTAGAGAGATATTAGCACTACCAGTTTCCCTCTGTATCCAGTAGGTTGTCTTATGTATCCTATTATTGACCCTGTTGACTGACAGCCCTCCGATGGATTCTTTAGGTAATTAGAACTCACCACTAAGCAAGCAAAGTTGAATCCTAGAGAATTAATAGGGTTTTATTAATACATTTTTAGACAATCCAATTTTTCTTTAACTTTTTACTGAGGCTAGGCAGACCTGGCTTGTTTTATTTTAACTTTTAAAACCTCTCCAAATTGTTGTGAGCAGCAAGATAACTTATCATCATGAATAGGTGCATTTTCTCCAAACTTTTTCAGTTTATTTCCTTTGAAGCCAAGGCCTTTGCTGCCCAGGGTCATGGGTAGGTTTATGGTCAAGATTACAAGGTCCCTCAACGTACTTCCCTAATGTAGATAACACTGAAGAGCATAGAGTATGCTCTGGATAGAAGGGGAGAAATGGAAGCCTGAGGAGAGGCAGGTATAGGGTTGAGCCTTGAAATGAGTAGAAAGAGAATCCTGGTGACCCCCAAGATGCTCAGAGTCCTGGCCCTGGGGAAGTTTTAAGCAGTTGAGTGGCAGACATCAAGGGAACGGAGGCTATGTTTAGAAATTACTTCTTTATAGTAAATCAAGACTTTATGGGCTTGCACAGTCCTGCCTCACACTCCTGAACACTGTCATAGGACCCTGACACACATGACTTAATTCTTTCAAGTATAGAGAGTTCTTTTGTTTTTCTGAATATTTCTAAGCCTCAATACTATTCTTTTTCTCAAGGTCCCTTCAGTTCTGAATTGTAGTGAATGATGAATTCATAGAGAATTAAGATTAGGTTTCTATAATACGTACTTTAGGATTAAACAAAGAAAAGAATAATCTTTGCCTTTATAATTCAAGATGGGGGTATGGCAGATAGAGATAGTAATTTCTTCTCAGATATAACAGAAAAGAGAGAGAATCCAGGCCCAGTGTTCCCAGGTGCTTAAACCCAACCAGGACATGGAAACAATGGAGCTGTGGCACCAGGCAGCCTAGGATGGGAGATAGTTTAGCAATAATTAGGATGGATGGAAGACTGGCAATTGAGGGGGGAAGGCTCCTCAATATCTTAATAGTTGGTACCAGTCCTTTTCCAAGGACTCTATAAAATTTAACTCCCTCAAGTCTTATTTTCTATCAGGTAGGTACTCCTGTGACTTCTGTTTTATAGTGCGGGAAACCAAGGTACGGAAAGATTCAGTAATTAACTCAGGACAACTCAGATAGAAGGGGCAGAGCAGGCATACCCTGGAGTCTGCACTCTTCTACCCTGTGCTATGCTGACCATGAGCTGACCATGTCTCAATGCTGTTATATCACAGAAATTTTTGGACCCTGGACTCAACTTTAGTGGGCAGGGCAATATGAGAACATTTAAGGCTGAATTTCTTGCTAATTCAGTAGGATGGAGAGTTGGAAGTAGATTTTATTAAACATAATAAAATGGATCTTTCTGTGAGCATGCTGATGGATTTTTACAGCTTCTATACTTACTGTTTATGAATAACTTATTTTGTTTTTTTCTGCTCTCAATAGAATAAGTACTCAATTTTTTTCATTAGGTAAAAATGGTTCCACTTGCAGCAAAGATCAGGCAAGCTGGCAAAGAGGAAAATTAGTGCCTGGTCTTCATGACGAAGACAAGCCAAGAGGTATTAATACTCATCTGGCCTGAAAGCAAAAGAGGCAAGAAAGCCAATCTTATGATCATTAGATTACAAAATGACATATTGTTATAGGTGCGACAAATTTCTAAACCTTGTTTCTGTTCAGGGGTCATAGTCTGCTTACTCCCAACAGGGTCACCTGTTTGATTTGCTGTTCAAACACCAGAAATGTTCATAGACTACAGCAAGACTGCAGTCCTTGCCCAGTGAGCCTCATTCAGAGAAGCCCAAACCCACTAAGTGCTCTCACCAGGGAGCAGTGCAGACTCACTGACTTATACCAAATTTATAGGGCCCATTCCTGTGTTTCCGCTGTCTCTTAGCAACACCATAAAAGCTGCCCTTACTCAGTTGTCATCACTGCCTGCCACCTGGGAAAGGAAGTCTTCCAGGATGAGGAGAAACATTCAGGCCCGGTGGAATGCTACTACCCTAATATGCAGACATGGTGACCTATGTCTAATTTTTCTGGCTCTGATTTCAAATTATCCAATGTTGCATTAAATGCATTAAATGTTGCATTAAATGATGCATATGTACTTCTTTTCAGAACATTTTGCTGGTTCCCATGTATGTAGCTTGCTATTTTTAGTTTTTTTTATACCTTTGGATGAAATCTGTAAATTTATAAGCCAGAAAATTTCATTTTGGGGCTGAAAAACAACTTTGCTGTATATATATCTAATCATTTGGTTGTTACAGCCCTTCATTATGAATTATAAAATTCATCTGTGAACTCAGAAGAAGTGGCCAAATCCAGATGCTCATTACATAATTTTACTTTATTTATTTTTTGTGGTACTGGGGCTTGAACTCAAGGCCTACACCTTGAGCCACTCCACCAGCCCTCTTTTGTGAAGGTTTTTTTGAGATAAGTTCTCATGAACTATTTGTCCGGGCTGGCTTCAAACTGTGATCCTCCTGATCTCTGCCTCGTGAGTAGCTAGGATGATAGACGTGAGCCACCAGCGCCTGGCCTATATTCTTTTAATTCACCCAGCAATTTCTTCCTTTACTCACCCTGAAGCCCATCTCCACTGAGAATCTTCCCCTGGCTAAATGGAATAAATGGTGATTCTCCCCTAACCCCCAAATTCGGATATGCAGACAGCAACTTGCACAAACCATCTATTCAACTGTCACCCTAATGTAGGGTTACAATGACTATTATACCAGTGTTAAAACTTACTGCTTATTTTGTTGGTGTTTCATTGTATAGGTCATAAAATGCTGCTTTGCATATATGTATCTGCCCTAAACCTCAAACTGATAGAAAACAGAAATAGAATCTGCTGTCTGTTTTATGCTTTATAAAAGACTTAGAGAAGCATTTAATAATTTAATAATGCATAAAGTAACTTACAGGTAGTCAACAATTTAATTCTGGTATTCAGTTTTTAGTAGATAGCTTCTAACTTGATATACATCTAGTTTATTGCTTCTCTCTAAAGAGTTCCAGAGTCTACAAATGACATTGAATGGGCAAAAGACACACAGTGTCTGGTGGTTCACAAAACAGTATGAAAAGATGACAGAAGGACTGCTTTCAGAGAATTACCTGGGAAAGTCCACTTACTAAAGAAATTTGGGGATGAGAAAGACCAGAATTTTGCATTAGTTCTCTAAAATGGCATGAAGTGTAGAATGATTTATTTAACTTGAACATTTTTGTTTATTTTGTTGCTTAAAGCATAGGGAGTAAAGCTGGTTCTCGAGGAGAACAGACCCAGCTGTTGGGGGAACATTATTCCCAAAGATTACTCACAAAGTAGTTTTACAAAACTAGGTCAACAGGCTCAGCCAAAGAGAAATATTACTGTCATTCCTTGGCCACTGGCCCATTCAAGAATGCCTTAAACATTAGCTTAAACCATAAGATGAATGCATTTTCATAAAAACACCACCATGCTAAATTTATGACACCAAAGACAGTTCAGAGTTTTATTACACTTTGAATTGACCTTGTAACAATGCCGACCACCCCTTGTTTGTCAAGTCACTGAGTGGATGGCCTCATAGTGTAAGCCCTTCCCAACCAGAAGTGGGGCGACTGCCCTTCTTGTGAATTGCTCCTTCCTGTCTCAACTCAGATACTACCTTCTCCATGACACCTTCTCTTATCACACAAATTAAACTCTTCATTCCAGTACCCCTTGCCCCATCACTTCCTTCTGTTTCATATTCTCCTAAGTACTTATTGCTATCTGAAGTCATTATATTTATGTTGCCTGTTTGTCATTGTCTGTTCCTATTAGAATATATGGACAAAGACCTTGTTTTTCCTACTCACTGCTATGTTCCCAGTACCTAGAATAATGTCTACCACAAAATTGGTGATTAATTAATATTTATTGAATGACCAAATCCAGTAATTATGTCTTGTGTAAGTCAGCTTTCCATCACCCAAGACATTCAACTTATAAAGAGAAAAGATTTGTTTTGGCTCACAGTTTTGGAGGTTCTAATCTATGATCTGGTGGACAAATTGATTTTAGGCTCCTAGTGGGAAGACAGCATTTTGTGACAGGTGTACGTAGCAGAGCAAAACCTCTCCTTCATGTCTGGAAAGCAAAAGAGAGGAAGAGGAAAGGGCTGGAGTCTCACAGTCCCCTTCAAGGGCAATGACCTAAAGACTTCCCACTAGGCCCCACCTCTTAAAAGTTCCACCACTCCCAATTGCACCAAGCTGGGGACCAAGCCTTTAAGACCTGAGCCATTAGAGGACACTCCAAATCCAAATAATAGCATTTGTTCAGCAACTGTAATCATTGAGAATGTGACAAAAGACTTAGAAAGAAAAGCATCACCTCCAAGCAGACAAAATTATAAGAAAAAAAAATCCATATTAAAACTCATGAGGTTTTCTCTGAGGTATGCCACTCAACTCCTCACACAAGAGCCTCTCATTTCTACTTTACATAATTAATTAACTTTCTTTATAATTTAAACTAATCAGTTGTACAGTTTCCTGGTCTATTGTAGATTAAAAACACTACAATAAACAGGCACAGTGGTGCATGCTGTAATTCCACCTACTGGTGTGGGGGGGCATTGTGTGTTGGTGGTCAGCCTGGTCAAAGGTAGCAATGACACCTTGTCTCACAAATAAAAATTTAAAAACCTGAAAGGGCTGGGGGCATAGCTCAAGTGGTAGCGTACTTGCCTACCATGTGCAAGGCCCTGGGCTCAACCTCCAGCACCTCAAAAAATATATATATACATTAGAGGTAAACATATTATTAACAGTGAGAAGAGATGAGCCAGTATAAAAGAAACTGAAGAATTACTAAAAAGAACTCAGATAACAGAGCATTTTTTGAGGGGGAGGTATTATGAATAGAAGCAAAAATCTTTCAGAGTTAAAGGTACCAGGAGGCAACACCTATTATTACAGTGTATGTATATGTTATCAAATTAGGTTGTGTACATAATGTACAAGGAAGCAGAAAATCAGTAAGTATAAAATGCTTGTTAGAAAAGTTTTTGTCCAAAACGTTATTTTAAATTGTTACTTTAAAGGGAAGGCAAAATTTGGTTTTATAAGAGAATCAACTTCCGATGAGCATAAAAAAAAATTCCTCCCTTTCTCCCTCCGTCCCTCCCTTCCTTTTTCTTTTTCTCCCGCCCTCCTTCTCCCTCCTTTCTTCCCTCTCTCTGTCCATTCCTTTCCTATCCCTCTCACAATGAGAGCTATTTAGTAAATACGTGTCTCGTTTAGCATGGCAGCTAGACAGCTCAACACCCAGCTTGACTTTCAAATACACCATCCCTTAGAGTTTTATGGAATGCACTTTGATATTCATTTCTGATCTCAACCTACTCTTTTACTGATCTTCACTCTTATTTATATATTTTCCTAGACATGATCCTTTATTACTATTTACATTTCACTATTGCTCTTATTTGTTATGTGTGCTATTGTTGTTGGGCATTAGAAATCCTTTTTGGAGGAAGATTAAGTATATATAAAGATTAAGCTATATAAGTATAAATAAAAGATTAAGCGTATATAAAGTCATGAGTCTCTGCTCATGACTGAGATAAATGGGCTGATATATTGATTCTTGAGAATGCAATAAAGAGTAACCAAGCTCCTTACAGATAAAAGGAGATTTTTCAAATGACAAAGCGTTGTGGATGCTGGAATAATGCCCTGGGGCTTTTTACCTCATAATCTTTTGGACCTGGTAATTGAAAGGTTAATACAAAATCATACATCCTGAAAATTGAAGGTTAAATTCCAAAACGTTAAAGTTGACTAAATATAACCACAGGAAATATGCATAACATAGAGGACAGCCAAAAAAAGTCACAGCTACTGATAACTTTAAAACAAAGCAGAGTGAACTTCCCAAAAATGGAGCCATGCAGTAGCCTGACATGGCAACTGTATGTGGCCATTATTCTTTTATCCCTCCCCAACCCAATGTGTTTTTCATGGACATGGTTCAGATCAAGGAATCTGTATAATCCAATTTAAGGAAAGTAGCTTATCTCCACTTTTTTGTTGGTTTGTTCTGACTTTGGGAATACTGGGTCAGGAGTCCCAGCAAGTTGGTGTAAAGTTGAAGAGACGACATGCAGAACTAGTGATGGTAATCTGCTCACTGTACAACTCATTTTCACCTAAGGACTTTGATCTGTGTAAATCTTGTAGCATCCTATAGTCTTGAAAAGTCTATAAGGAAAACTGTCTTTATAAGAGAAAAAAATTACCAATAGAAAATTGTGGAAGCAAATCTATCTATAAATCACAGCAGTCAGTGATTTGATTCTAACAGTCTAGGATTGTTCCTTAAAAAATTTTTCTAACAGCCATAAAATCTGGCTTCCCTAAAAAAAGCTTTGAGGGTTCAGATAGGACATTTATACAAAGCATTCATTTTACAGTTGTAACTGACAGCTCTCTGAAAGGTGGGCCTGCTCTGATTACCCTACGTTGTTTGGAACAGCAGTTTGAAGTCTGTGCCTAGCTTTGTCTTACTCCATTTTATAAAGCAACAGTTTTCTAAGCTACTTCATTTTGACAAAACAGTGTGACTCCAAATCCTGCTAATACAAGTAAACAACTACCATCTGCCTGCACACCACAAACACAAACTGATAAATAATTTGTGTCAATAAACAATTATACCTGCAAACAAATTGAATCCAATCAGAAATCCAAACACATGAACTTATCAATCATACCATAAGTAACCTTTGACTATAAAAGAAGAACTATCTCAAGACTGAGACATGGCATGAACACCGACCTACCACCTGGTCACCCATCATTAGCCTCACCCAGGAAAACTGCTGAAGTAAAGGACCTGTGCCTGTCAGTAGGCTCCAGTTCTTGCACAGTTTCTCCTGCCCGTGACACACAGCCCATTTCAAACTGATACTAAATAAGGCCTGCCCCCCCACCTTCATATAACAACTCTGTGTAATGAACAGCTCTGAACCTGCAGTTTGTAAAATTTTCTTCTTATCTGGCCCCCTGCACAGACTTCCTTGCCTTGGCATCAGCTCTCTGCCTATGCCTTCAGATCAGCCCTCTGAACTCTGTGGCCTTTTTAATCTTCTACCATTCTGTAACCTATATTGTTATTGTGTAAAGTGTAATGTGTGATCAGAGAATTAAGATTACTAATGAAGATTGGAATAAAATAATTTGTTTGCCAGTGGCTCATGGCTATCAAGTGATACCAGGAATACTTTGCTAATCAATGCCAATGAAATTGATGCACCTTGTGCATTTGTTGTTATACAATAAATTCTGACATTGTGAAAAGACAAGTTTGTCTGTCTGTGTTGACATAGCTCAATCACAACACTGTCTCTCCTCTCCACTCTCATCAATTTCTAGGAATTGTCCTTTTACCTGACATACATAGCATAACCACCTTCAAGCCCTTGCACATCTGGTAGAGCAATGTAAGTTGGGTCCACTAATCTCACTGCTGTACACTGGGTACATCCCCACTATACAATAGACTAAGGAGCCTCTTTCCAGGGGATTGGGAATCAAAAAAGATGTAAACCTGAAAATCTTGGTGGCAAGAGTTCTACATGTAGAGTAGTAAGTCGAGTTTGCAGATGTTCAAAAGAGGAAGAGAGATTCAGAGGATATTGAAGAAAAAGGCATAGGGCAACAGAGAGGAGAGATTGAAACAAAGAGACCTGGCACATTAGCATCCCTGGTTCCTGTTGAAGGTAAGGTCCATCTGCATTTCTGTCTTTGGATTATGCAAGAACCTAGACTTACACTTGTGTTCTTCTTATCATGAATCCCCATTAAAAATTCAACTTTGTGTTTAAATCTCTCAGGCCAAACCTACTTTAACACTCAAGATTAGAAAATTGGGTATATATTGGAAAAAAAATATATTTTTTTATGCTTTTTTTTTTTCTCTTTTTTTTATTGTTTTATTATTCATATGTGCATACAAGGCTTGGGTCATTTCTCCCCCCTGCCCCCACCCCCTCCCTTACCACCCACTCCGTCCCCTCCTTCTCCCCCCCACCCCCTCAATACCTAGCAGAAACTATTTTGCCCTTATCTCTAATTTTGTTGAAGAGAGAGTATAAGCAATAATAGGAAGGACCAAGGGTTTTTGCTAGTTGAGATAAGGATAGCTATACAGGGAGTTGACTCACATTAATTTCCTGTGCGTGTGTGTTACCTTCTAGGTTAATTCTTTTTGATTTAACCTTTTCTCTAGTTCCTGGTCCCCTTCTCCTATTGGCCTCAGTTGCTTTTAAGGTATCTGCTTTAGTTTCTCTGCGTTAAGGGCAACAAATGCTAGGTAATTTTTTAGCTTAGCATCTTATCTATCCTCACCCCTCCCTTGTGTGCTCTCACTTTTATCATGGGCTCAAAGTCCATATATTGGAAAATATATTTTAAAGCATATTTTAAATGTTTCTTCTCTGGAGCGGCATCTAATTTTACCAATATTGGAGTTTTCCTATACAGAGAAACTTGCAGTATAATAGACTTTTGAAGATTTGCCATTAAAAACTATAGCTTTGGTTGCCTTTTCATAAACACAGCAGAAATGGATTGGCAAGATCTGACTTAGAATCAATAGAGTAGGAAAGGAAGAAACCAGACAGCCTCATCTTTCTATATTAAAGGTAAGGACTAAGACCCAGAATAAAGAGACTTGCCCCCACTTTGCTACCTTGAATGGGAGAGAAGGCCAGAACCCCTAGATCCCAGCTTCCTAACCATGCCTTTTGACATGTCACAGGGATACACGATTGTGAGTTTTTTCATGCACTCTCTGCCTTCATCCTTAGTACAGATTGACTGAAATGCTGAGGTGTATGCAATTCCTTGAGGGCAGCCCCTGTACAATAACCCACAGGACTTTTGTGTGCGGATGTTGAAGGAAGGGGTAAGGAGAGATGAGCGAGAGAAACGTTGTCGTGGAAACACCAAGAAAATCACAAGATGAAAAAGAGTTGGAATCCATTCTGCTACCTCAAGCTTTATTCATTCAAGTAATAAATCAAGACATCTGTGTCAAAACCAGTGCAGCATAAAATGGACTACAGATAAGCCTTCCAATCTAGTCAATGCTGTTTGCTAAGCACCAGTGTCTTTTAAAGGGGATGCTTCATTACACATTTAGCTGAATCGCTGTTAAAATTTTTATGTGGCATTAGTGGATGCTTTGTTTTTGTTCTAATTTCTTTTTAAAAAATTCTGAACTGCTCACCAAAGAAGAGTAAAATAAATAATTATCTAGAGTACCATTTTAGGAGCAGAAAAGTTTCTAAACTTATGACAGGCTAGAAAAGAGAACTAGATTTGGGTAAGAAATAAGTACTTCCCAGAGACGGTAAATGACCACTTCCTGAGAGTTAAGTAGATCAAGTGTCAACGTTCAACTAACATAATGGAATTTCATTCAAACTAGAATCGGCCCAGAAAAGGAAATATCAGAGCAGACAGCTTGTAACCCTGGCCCTAAAACTCCGTGGTGGGAACAAGTATTACTGCTCAAAGAAGACACTTACTCTTTCATCTCCCTGAACTCCTAGCTCCCCAGAGAAATCTCAGTGCTCCCCACAAAAAGTATGCCAACTTTCATGTAATTTTCCTGCTGGGAAGTCATCTGACAAAATAATGAATCTTTAGAGGCAAGCCAGGGTAGATGAAGTAAAATTGTTTTAGTTCTTTTATCTGTTTGAATGGTTCTACTTCTTTTCTGGATTCATCAATTCATAGTTACCATAGAACATCAGAACTGGAAAGCCCTCAGAGAGCACAGGGGATAAGCTAGCTTTGTTCAAGGAGTAAGTCAGAGGCTTCATAGCTAGTTAGTTGGCAGAACCATAGTTTCTTTTTTATCTCTTGGATCCCAGCACCAATGATCTTTACTTGAAATAAAAACTTTCTTCCAAAAATTTAATGAGCTTTACAGATTTATATTTCTGACATTGGTTTCATTTTAAGGAATAACAATCCAAGGGACAGAGAGTAAAAAGTATTTGTTCTAGTCTTCTGGACAGGGCCTGCTCATAAGAAAACAGACCTGCATTGCATTTCTATCATTGGATTAATAAATAACGAACTAGTCCCCATCTATGTGCACTCAAACCTCCAGTGGTTCCACGTCTGTCTTAGCACTCTCCCTCTGATTGCTAAACCATGAACACCCCTAGAAGCTGGTGAAGAAAAGCCAAAAAGTTGATTGTGAGAAGGGAAGGGAAAAAGGAAGACCAAACAGAGAGGTAAAATGTCTGAAAAACTTAAAACTATAGGTGAAAATTTTTGTGGGGTTGTAAAAATGGCATTTGGGGAGATGTTTTAAAAATATATTTTCTACTAGCCTTCTAATGATTCTTACATATCAAAAACCACTATTTTAAGACATAAAGTATGTATGATGTGAAGACATAAGGTTTTTTTTTAATATGTGGAAATTTCCCAAAATGACTGTAGAGGGTTTTTTTTTTGTTCCTTTTCTCCTTTGAATTGTGTCTCTTATCCTTATTTCAACATCTTCAGCTCCAAACTCAAGTCAAATGTTGACATTTCCTTGGGTTCCCACAAAGGGGCAGCAGAACATGGGGTGGAAGAGTTGGTTAGGCTCTGGTCCCAGACCATGGAACATTTTCTGATCACTCTGACTAATCACAGGCACGTTGGCATTGCCCTGAGCTGAAGCTCCATGTCCTCCAAACCCAAGCCTTCACTGCCTTGTAAAAGATGATTGTATTTGTTCACACAAAATACTCCTGTGGGTCCTTTTCCCTCTTCATCCACCAGAGAAACTAAGAGTGCAGTACTGACCACCAGGCCCCAGGAAATGTGAGGTTACCTTACCAGGAAATCTCACCGGCTGGAAAGACAGTGAGAGAAAGCTGGGGGAGCCCTGGGCTCTCTATGGGCAACTTGTGGGCTGCTCTTGAGCTAAGGTTTTCTAGTCCTGAACCCTAGCGAGCGAGTTGCTGATCATTCTCACATGTTGGTGAAGTAGTATAACATGAAACAAATGAAAGCACCCTCACAGAGTTCTACAGTTATTTTTACTAATGCCAGTGATCAAGTAAATTAAAAACCAAGTGCAGTCATTTGCTATACTCATTCCTTCTAATACTTGGAAGGCAAGTATCAATAAATCAATAGTTTTCACTCTGGAGCCCACTGATTGAGAGAATTTGGCCATTTGGAGCACTGAAAAGAAGACAGTTTACTGTTAACATCTAGATTCTTCTGCTGGTAAAATTGACACAAGGACATCAACCTTGTGATAAGCATACAGAAATAAACTTTATGTGTGCTTTACATGTAACCAACATTCTACTTCAATAAATACAATTGATCACATTTTTTCCTTAGTGCATAACATCAGCGTCCCACTGTGAACATCAAGGGGCTCACTATTCATAGTTAGTTGACAAAAACATTTTAATCAGCCTTTTGATAGTAATGTATTTAAATTCTAAAACATAAAAAAAACCAAAACAGGTAATTCTTATAATCTTTCAAATGAGGGACACCTTAATCTTCCCAGGGCTGAACAGATGGAAAATCTATCTTTGTCAATTTTGCCTTTTTTTTTCTTTCTAGGAATGAGCACCAGTGAGGAGTTACTTGCTTAATGATAGTTATAAGGCATGTAAAGGACTTGTGGATCTGAGGGAGTTAATTTCTCAACTCCTGTCTTTCCCTACAACAAAAGGATCACCTCTGACCAGCAAGGTCAAAAACAATCTCTTGTAGCCTTAGAGCCCCTCTACATTCATACCCTTGACTCCGTGGCATCTGTGATCCTGTCTGATATCCCATTGGTCTTGGTTCTCCTCTTCAAGACAGAGGCTATAAGAGTCCCTTTCACCAGGTCAAGAACACAAATTTTCATAGCAGCTGTGAAGCTTGTGGTACCACAGTGGGGTTTTTGTTGTTGTTGTTAGTACTTGGGTTTGAATTCAGGACCTCACTCTTGCTAGGTAGGTACTCTACCACTTAAGCCACTCAGCCAGCCCTCTTTTGTGTTGAGTTTTTTTGAGACAGAGTCTCATGAACTATTTGCCTCGTCTGGCTTCAAACCACGAACCTTCTGATATCTGCCTCGCGAATAGCTAGGATTATGGGCATGAGCTACTACCAGTGTTTTTAAGATGGGACTACTGAGACTTAGAAAGCTCTGATGTCTTGCTTAAGGTTAGGGAGTGGACTTGGAGCTTCTAGCTTTTTAGCCAGGAATTCTCCAGTATTTTGTTTAGGCAGAACAGATGTGTGAGGGCCCATTCACACAGGGGGCTAAAGAGCACTGCCACGGCTGCGATTCACACTCTTGGGCCAACTCCCAAAGCACTCCTCCCCAGAGAAGTGGCAACAGGTCTGAGGCTTTGGCCTATATCCCAAAGGCAGGAGAGGAGAATGAGAGAAAGACGGGGTTTTCAAGCCATCAGAACACCATTAAGATACACAAACAACTACTATGTGACCCCACACTAGAGTCTGAGCTCTGACACACGAGTATGTCATTCCTCCTAAATCCCTGTAGGAAATGAGAGATACAAGCACTGAGATGGAATGTAAACTATTTCTCAAGGAAGCATGCTAGTTTCACTTCTCCCAAGAGTTCCCCTTTGGAGAGAACTTGAACTCCCTCTTTCTTTTCTGATTTTTTTTTTTGAGGCACTGAGGTTTGAACTCAGGTCCTACACATTGAGCCACTCCACCAGCCCTTTTTTGTGAAGGGTGTTTTCAAGATGGGGTCTCACAAACTATTTGCCTGGACTGACTTTGAACCACGATCCTCCTGATCTCTGCCTCCTGAGTAGGCAGGATTTCAGGTGTGAGCCACCAGCGCCCGGCTTTCTTTCTGATTCTTAATGGTGGCTATGCCAGCCCTCTGTTAACAAGAGAGAAGGGAAGGAAGGCAGGTCTATGGGAGAATGTAAGAGAGAGGCAGAGGATATAGAGGAGCAGCACCATGAAGGCCCCTTCCATCCAGTTCTCCTGTGACTTCCCTGAAAGTCCCTCCATGCTAACCTTCCACACACACCACCAAGAACCTCCCACTTCTATCTTATTCCACCCTCACAGGCTGCACATCCACATAGTGGTAAGTAGAGATGGGAGGCAGATGTGGGCCCTAGAAAGTCAAGTGTCCAAGGATGGCAGTCAAGGGGTCCAAGGCTGTGCTTTGGTTCTGTAAACCTCCACACTCACTGAAGCTTTCCTCTTGGTTCCTAGTGCCTACCCTGGAAAACAGGTTTTGCTTTTCTCCTTATCTTTTTGGAAGGAAGGGGAGGATTTTTGCCTAATCACATCTCAGTTCCTTAGTCTGAAATTGGAAATTTGAAACTCACTTTCTTGGCATGGTTATGAGGACTGACGAGCTGTGGGAAAACACCTAGCATAATACCTGGCCCAGCATAGTGCTCCAAAATGACTGTGCACCTCCTTGCGCTTTTCTCTGGTTGCTCCTTATAAAGTATACACTCCCTAAACCAACTTTTCTTCTCCCTTCTCTTGGTTGAAATCTTGGGAAACAGTTATTCATTGTCTCCTTCCAAACAAAATGTTGCCGGTGACTGGGAAGGTGACAGTACAAGAGAAAGAGCCAAGATCAGACCAGGGAAACTGAGGCTGGTGGGCACCTCTGCTGTTGAGGTGTGGGCCATCCGCAGTAAAGGAGGGATCCTGGGTAGAACTGGGAGCCATGGTGGGCACATCTGTGCCCTGTCTCTATCCCCTTTGCTGAGGGAGCATCTGGAGGGAGGTTGGGGCATTCAGGTGCACACAGTTCTTACCTTGAGAGGCAGAGCAGCAGGTGGGGCTGGGCAGCTCTGGCTGATCTGAGTGGTGGGGTAGTATCTGTAGAGCCGTGCCCTTGTTGCCAGTACTGTGGTACCTAATCCCTCATCACAGTTCTTCAGGAGTAGCTGGTGGGTGGCAGCGCCTTTCCTCAGCATGGCCCTTTCACCCCTGTCAGCAGCATGGACTAGGGTGGCCTGCTGAATTGAACATCCCAAGGCATTCCTGGCTTGGAGATCCATGTTCCACAGCTCCTGGGGGGCAGAAATGAGTGGCCAGTCCTTCCAGCCCATGGACGGATCGCCGCTTCCATTGCTCATGGCAGATGCTGGGCTAGCAAGGCCACATGACAGAGGCTGTGTCCATCCAAGTTTCCTAGAGGCAGGGGCCAGGCAACGCCTACAATGTGGAGATCCACAAACACCACCCCTCCTTACACCCAGATTCTGGGGCTTTGCCTCTCCCTCCTTCTTCTCCTTCAGTGAATAGCAACTGAAAGAAGCTGGTCCCTCTGTCCCAGCCCCTTCCTCAGGCAGCAGGCTTGAAGGAGAAACAGTGAAGCTCTGCGTGTGTCTGAGGTCCCAGCCTGCCAAGAAGCCTGTCCTGGGACTCGGGAAAATGTGTACCTCCTCCAGGCCTCTTGGGGCTGCTTTTGAGGCTGCAGCGGCTGGAGACTGGGCGGGGTGAGCTCGGGCAGGGGGGGCCTGCAGCTGGATGAAGAGGAAGGAAGTTTTCATCTGCTGTTGCTGAGGCTGCTTAGCCATTTCCTCCAAGGGGGTAGGGCTGGTCCTTGCCAGGGTCGAGTTTCAGACATCAGTGCCCAGGGATGCAAAACGCAGCAGCTGTGGGCAGACATGACTCAGCCCCATGGTTCCACCGTCAGCCTGCGGAAGTGAAGGACACACCTTCAGTACCCAGGGGGAGTCCTCAAGGAAGGGGGATCAGGGGATAGTGTTGGCAGTGAAACTAGTCTCTGCGATCATGTCACACAATCACAAAAACAGATTGATGGGGGATGATGTACAAGTGAGAGATGGGGGTGGGAGCAGTCAAGACTTGGCCTCTTACACCTGTGCGTCTAAATGGAATTGCTTGCCCTTAACCACACCTTTCCTTATAGTGGAAATGAAAACACCAGTCATTTCAATGCTTAATTCTAAATTCTGCTAAATTAGCTATCCCCATGACTTAGAGTCTGACCTGTGAGACATCATGTGGTTTTTAAATGAAGCTTCTAGTAAACTTCATCTGCTTTGCCTGTATTATTTTCACTAAATACTTTCAAACCCCATATGATAAAAAATCTAGCAGACAGTGGTAAACAACTTTAATGTCCTCATGGAGTTCCACTATGGAGACAGTGTTTCCTTAGGGTTCTCCAGAAAAGGTTCTACAGTCCCACGTCAAAATACTTGGTGTCCTGGTTTCAATGTGTCCCCTTCAAAATTCAGTATTAAGAGGCTGGGCCTTTGAGCGGGGGTTAGGACATGAGGCTCCCCTGGAGGATGGAATAAAAGCCCGTATAAAAGAGACTACATACAGTGTTGAGCAGCTTGTCTCCCACCATGTGAGATGCAGGAAGGCCCCCACCAGATTCTGGTGCTTTGATATTGGATATCCCAGCCTCCAGAACTGTGGGAAATAAATTTCTGCTCTTTATAAATTATCCACTTTGTAGCATTTTGTTATAGTGGTATAAAATAGACTAGATACTGATAAAAGAAGAGAGAAAGAGAAGAGGAAAAATAAATAAGAAAAAAATATAGCAAACAAATTAGGCTGGAGAATTTTTGTTGTTTGTTTTTAAAAATAATTTAGCCCTCCTGGTATGGTGGCACACACTTGCAATCCCAGCACTTGGGAGGCTGAGGCACGAGGATCAGCACATACTACACAGTGAGGTGCTGTCTCAAAAAAACAAAATAATAATAATTTAACACCTTTAACTTGTGAGAACACTAGCAGTTGTTTCTTTTTAAGTGAGGGAATCATTCCTTTCTAGCACAGTTTAACTAATTGCAAGTGAGTAGAAGAAAGGCAAGACAAGATGAAGAAAAAATCACTTACAACTTCAGTTGAATAATTCACATTTAGAGTGCTTTCACAGGTTCAGTATCTCTCAGAGTAGGAAAGGACCCATTTTGAGCCATGGAGACTGACCTTGTTCTGGAAGACAAAAGAAGGCAGGGCTGAAGAAACTCTTGTCTTTTATCAAATTGAAATACCTGACTAAAGGAGAACCAAGAGGTCACTGCTGAGACCAAGTGAGCACATGGCCCAGAAAGTTCCTGTCTTATACCATTGGCGCCTGAGCCACTTCTCCCTCCCTGCCATTCCTACACATTAACAATGATCCCAGAGCAATCAGAGGCCAGGGCCCTGGGTGGCCACACATGGTCAGAGTCTTTGGAAATTCTCAGCATGGCTGGTTGGGGTGCCATGTCTGTTTTCCTTTTTAAAGGTCTTCACACAGTTTTTTCAACCATGTTTAAGGGGGCTCTGCCCTTATAGGCTAAGAAGGGTCACTTTCATAACAAATATTCATGCAGAGAAAATTTTGGCAAAGCAAAATCACATCCTAGTAGAATTATATATTACCCAATTATACTAATTTTCATCAGAAATCCTATGTGATATCTTGTCTGTTTTATGTAATTTTTACACTGTCCTACAAAACAACTTGCTTGAACATTGTAATCATTCAAGAAGTATCAGTCTACTGAGAGGAGTATGTCTTCACATAGAACAGGGACTTGGGTAAGAAGGAACCATCGTTTTCTTTCTGCTTCCAGAGGTGCCAAACATTGTATCAGGTGCTTTAACCACCATGCTTCATTCAGTTCAACATAATCCTATGAAGCAGGTGGCATTGAAGGTAAGAAATAGACTCAGGGGAGTGATACCTTTTTCAGTACAGCTGGCCAAATAGGAAAAGGTCCTGAAGAGCTGTCAGATAAGAAGTTTCACAACTCTCTTATCTCTAACTGGAAATTCAAATGTCTAGTTTCCAAATAAAAGGAGGTATCAAAGAAACTAAGGTGGTGATTGTGGTAGGGTGTGTCTAGGACCCTTCCTTCTTTTTCCTTGTGAGGTTATTACAGGGGTGATTATACCAAATGTTCCATTGTTAGGTTGTGTGGGCTGGAATAGGAGAAGTATAAAGAAATAGTGGATGGTACATGAGAGTGGACAGGGGATGGCTAGTTGGAAGACACAGGTGAGATGCCTTCTTGGGACACCCTTAAATATTAGGGACATATTAGAGGGGCTGGGATTCTGTATGAAAAATGGGGGTGAGCACCAGAGAAACATGGGTTATTGGTGTGATACAAATAACACAATGATTGAGAACATGCACTAATGTGCCAGACAGACATTTTTCTGAGTCCTGCTTCTACTGGGTGGCTGTGTGGCTTGGGACAAGTTACTTAACCTTTCTGACAACCAGTTTTCTCTAAGATTAGGTAACAATATCTATTTTACAGGGTTGTTGTGAGAAGTCTTTTTTTTATTGTTTTATTATTCATATGTGCATACAAGGCTTGGGTCATTTCTCCCCCCTGCCCCCACCCCCTCCCTTACCACCCACTCCGCCCCCTCCCTCTCCCCTCCCCCTCAATACCCAGCAGAAACTATTTTGCCCTTATTTCTAATTTTGTTGTAGGGAGAGTATGTTGTGAGAATTAAGTGGAGGTGTGTGCAAAGAGTTTATGTAACATAGACTTTATGGCACATAACCGGTTCTTAATAATTATTAGGTACTCTTAGAATTTATAAGCATACATTTTCCCATTTTATTAGCATATATTCATTGTACGGGGGAGATTTGTTGTGATAATTCTGAATTGTCTTACATTGTACATTGGTTAGCTTGCCTCCTCCCTCTCTCCCCCACCCTCTCCCCATCTCACTAAAAGCAATTACGAGACGTTTCACCATCCATCAACTTTGCATATATGAATCCCATCAACCCTGTTCCTTCACCTACATTTCCTCCATTACTTCCCCCCACAAGTGCCCTTCACACACTGTACTTGCTCTACAGTCTTGTCTTCCATTATTAATTCCAAAGCCAGTATTCAAAGGGGTTTCTCAGTGTATCCCAGCTGTAAATATGCTTTACTTTGGTCAGTTCAACCCCTCTGTTACTCTCCCTTACCCTTCCCTCCCATCCCCCATTATTCAGCAGGTTTCAGTACATATTGTTATGTCCTCTACCTCACAGATGTGAAGTATTTTGATATTATTGACTGTCATTCTCTTTTCCCTTTCCTCCTCCCCTATTCTACCTGAAGATGTGTATACAATCATGTTTGTTTCTGTGTATATGTTTAGTTTTTGGATCTATCTTCCACACACGAGAGAAAACATATGATAAGCACACATTTTTGAGGCCGTAGGAAACTGGTTAAACCAACAGAACTGGAGTTGTTTCATTGTGTGTGTGTGTGTGTGTGTGTGTGTGTGTGTGTGTTTGTGTATCTAGAGAGACAGAGAGAGAGAGCGAGAGAGAGAGAGAAAAACATGTGTGTATTCATTCACTTGCAGAGGGTTATCACATGCATGTTTTTATGCTTCCTAACTGATGAGTAAGCACCTAAGAGCTGGGGAATTAATTGGATGTGGGTGAGTCAGCAATGGATTTGGGGTCAGGAGACAGGAGTATGAGTTCTAGAGTAACCATCTATTAACTGTGACTCACACCTAGTCTCTGAACATCAGTGGACTTACTTATAAGACAGCAAAATAAATTTCTGCCTCTCTTAGCCTTACAGAATTGTTTTGCAGGCCAAATGGAATAATCTGTGTAGCAGTACTCTGTAAACACAAATGAGGCCCTAAGTCGTGGTAAGCGTTGTATTGTAACATTACTAATAATTTTAAATTAAATAATTGTCTCTGATTTTTCTGAAGACTCAAGGCTTCTTGCTCTAAGTTCTAAGTTGACTTCTTATTTTTCTACCGCCATTTTAAGGTACATAAAATGTGAATGCAAACAACAGATAATTTAAAGGGTACTCCATTCTTGGTAATGATTTCTTCTCATCATTTCTAGAGAGACAAAAACCTTCTAGAATTTTAGCAAGGAGGGAGAGGGAGTAGGCAGTGGGGAGAAGTATGAGAGCACTCTCTTCCCTCACTCGGATCTGTGATGCCTTTATGAAGTGGGCAGCATGAACCTCCTTTTGGAACAGGGATGGAACAACTTGCTTATTTAAAGAGGGCAATAGCTGATATTTCCATCCATGTCTGGCTCTTTACACTCCTCTATAACTGGTGGAACTGGTCTAAGCAGCATGTCTGTCCTGTCTGTCCTTCCCATTTCTAAAAGAAGGACCCACTAAAGCCAACATGAGTTAGCTATGCTGAGCAGGGAGCTTTACTCTCTTGAATATTGTTTCCCTAATGTTTTTAAGCACTTACTTAATTTAAGATTGTATAAAAATTGTGTCTTAGCAACACATATTGCTTGAATTGAAGAAAATGAATTCTCCCAAAAGCATGGTGATTTCCAAGCACCAGCATTAGAGCCTAAGTCCCAGGAAATCCCAAAAATTTCTGCAAATATTCCTTCCACAGTGTGAAGTCAAAGGAGACACATTCTGCCTCCCAATTTTCATCAATTTTCTCTGAAAGTGGAGTTCTGTCGGTCCTGGGGAACCCTCTGGGGTCACTCTGACCAATTTGATTGTGATCTGCTGGTATTCATAGCTTGAATAGGAAAAAAAATGAGGTAGTGTCTAAAGCCCTCTCCTGCTATAGGAGTGTGTTTGGAAAATGAGCTGCATTCTTGAGTTAAGAAAGAATGAGAGAAAAGGCAGAGGTAGAGCTGGGACATGGGGTTGAGGGAAGAGTTTGGCCAAAATGAAACGTGAGTGGCTGGGGAGGTGTGAGGAGATATGAAGAGGCAAAGGACAGGAAGGCATGTGTCAAGGACGTAGACTAAAAGATACCACATGGTAAAGTCAGCAATGCCAAGAATAAGCGCTGACCATCCCTACTGGTACTTTATCAAATAAGCTTCATGATGTCCAAGATATTCTACACCTCAGCATCACAGCTTAGTTCCTTCCACTATTCTAAGGAAATTTGTGTGATAGTGAGCTTGATTATGTAATGCTGTTATAATATGAGGGCAATGATGATCATAGCTACTGTCTTAGTCTGTTTGGGTTGTTATAACAAAACGCCATAGGTTGGGTGACTTATTAACAGAGAAAACTTATTTCACACTTGTGGAGGTCAGGCTGGGAATTTTAAGATTATAGTGCAGATTCATGACAGTCATTTTCTCACTCTAACCTCTTGTGATGAGGGAGTAAGGGGTTTCTCAAGTCTCTTTTATCCCATTCATGAGGGCTCTACTTTATGACCTATTCACCTCCCAAAGTCCCCACCTCTTAGTTCCATCACCTCGGGAGTGACGATTTCAGCCCTCTACATATATTACTTCCAATCCTCAGAACAAGGTAAATATTAGAATCCCCATGTTAAAGTCATGGACACTGATGCCTGCAGAAGTGTCCAAAATGACATAGGAATTAAACAAACTCAGGGCCAGGTCTTTCAGGTCTCTCAGGTTCTTTCAGTGGGACCACTGTTGTCTAATTAGTATTTTTAGGAACCAGCGTTTCTATAAGATAGAATATATAGATGTTTGGACATGTCAGTGAAAAGTAACCTTCACACTCCATGCCCTCTGAGTGCCAGAGCCACACTGTCCCCTCAATGCCTCACCCTCATACTTTTCACAGACTCCCTATGACCATTTTTTGCCTCTCCTCCAAAGGCAAGCCCAGCCTACGTCATAGAAGATAACATATTGGTAGTCTCCTCGCAATGATTATTTATGGAAGAATCAGATGGGAACGCTTGGGAAGCATGCTAACTACAAGAAGTCCTTAATTTCCATCCTGTTTCTATTTCTTCTACTGCCCTTCCCGCCCCATGCTCTCATTGGCATGTTCTGAGCAGTTCTTTGTATTTTCAGTTGATATGTCCCCAGCCTGGCATCTGATCACACAGGCAGACTGCTTTTGAAGTAAATTTAAAAAGCACTGGGCTGTCCTGGAGAGTTCAAGGCTGTTCTGTGTCCTGTGCAGATGGCCCTTCTTCCTATCCTTAGCTTCTGAAACTCTTTTCATTATGGTAATTCTGGGAGGCTA